GAATTCAGTCAATCAAGTTCAGTCAACCTGTCTAATCAAATCCTCAAGGACGAATGAACACTTGTTGCACTTTATTGGTGCCTTTGAATGATAGGTGACTGTCATGACTTTAATGTGGGTTGCCAWGCCAACAACCCAAACAGAAGAAGAGTGAGTCTTTGAAATGTTCTTGATTATAAATTAAGTTTTTAAAACAAAACATGTTTTTGTATTTTTTTCAAATGGGTCTATGTTATCCACTGGAAGTCATGATGCTACACTAGCTACACTAGCCTTCCTACTGTAATGTCCCAAGTGTGGAAAACATACAGCATTTAAATAAAAATATTTCTGAATACTAACCCTACAACACAGGACAGTACTGTGTGGTAATCCACAGTACATTCAATATATGGGGTTTGTGTTTCAAATATTGTTGTTTATGGGTATAGGCCATTAAAACAAGAGAACAAGTACAACTGCAGTGGGGCTGTGGCACTCCAAAATGTTTGTGTGGTATTTTTGTGGTACAACCTAGCAGAACTACGAAGAAGGTATGCATGTACCTATAATAAGTCCAAACTCAGCAGTAATCCCACTGAAGATGCCTGTAACGATGATGAATAATAATTATTCACCCGAATCCAACTTCCTCTCTGGAAACCCGTATGTGTGGGTGCGTTATTTGGCCACAGGTTGCTGGTTTTCTGTTGACAGTGAGTGCCAATACACATATTAAATAAAGTTTAACAAAGACGAGCGCACACGTGGTGTCAGGTGAACCCCATGTAGCGTTCGTCCCTCACGAGTTCACATTCCCAACAGCTGATTCAGACACAAACACTGATACTCCAACAGTCATTTCCAGGCTGGCACGCAGCGTGTCATATTTGGCATGAGCTGTATTTTCCCAGAGTGACAGCGATGAAACAATGCTTCCTCAGGCATATCACCAGCTTAACTCCTGGGGAATGATTACACTGACGGCTGTCTGGAGCGCTCGTTCTGCTGTTTTACTTTCATGTCTATAAACAAAGTGATTCATTCAGATTCGACGTGCAGCCAAATCCAACATAAATCATGAAAGTTTGACTTTTAACTTCAGATCTTTACTTTACCAACTTTATTTTCTTGTAATATTCAGTGAGATGGAGTGAGATCAGAGCTGAAATATAAATTAATCCACTGTATTAATACTTTTTCTCTGGGAAGGGGCACTTTATCATTCATAGTCACATCATATTCAAATGAATGAAAACAGTCACTGGCCACTCAGATTCTGATGTTACATTTAAATGACAAACAAAGAAACTTGAACCCTCTGTTTGAAATATAAAGATGTTTACATGGAGTTTTAAGGGATAAATATTCTGCCATATTCCGCAACGGGGGAAAAAAATGCTGTGAAAAGTTGAAAACCTAAGATTTTTTCTACACATCTGTATCTGTGGTTCTTCTACAAGTTAGCAAGGAGAGCTAGGGGGAGGCTATGGGTGTCAAGTTGATTATAAATCAACCACTGGATCCCACACACTGAAACTTGAAGGTGACAATGTATTGTCTTTATTTGCTCAGATATCTGTCAGAGAGATAAATAATGTTGACAAGCAGTGTCACGGCACAAGAAACAGTGCTCTCTCCAATCTTCATTCCTATCACTGCCACGTGCATGATTTAAAGTCTCTGTGTGGCTATCACTAGTCTCAGCTGCCCGGAGGTCTGACTACTGCAGGTAAATTCCAGGAACCGGGAGTAGATATGTGTCCCATATTGTTTTTTATTGGCAGTAAAGCCTTTTAACTTCCCCCCAGACAGACCACTGTGCCTCAGAAGGTCCTCCAGTCTATTTACATCAAGGTGCACCAACAACGAGGGCTCACAGCATGATTTTGATGATGCTCTTGTGGATTTCGCTGAGGCTGAGGAGTTCATACACGTGCACAGTGGTTTATACTGACGGCCAGGCTCTCATATAATACCTGCCTATAAGATGAGATGCCTATGAGATGAGATGCTCATGATGTAATGTCATCTTCAGTATGTGTCCTACTTTTGCATGATTCCAGTGAAATGCCAGTCTGGGAGCAGCATGAGATTTAGTTCGACTATGTGAGAAATAGCCAGAGCTTTTTATTTGACAATTACCTTGAAAATGAATGGCCATGAAATTTAGCACCAGCTTAATGCCTTAATGGCAGCTTTGGAGGACATTTTATTCAGATTTCTGATGCTAAGCTGGATTTTATGAACATTTTCATACTTGGGTACCTCACGTCACTGGTTTCACAACTGCAGAGAAGTGCTCCTCGCCCCCACTAAGTGATCCCTCATCTCATTTACTATTCAAAGTAAGAATTTATGGTCATAAAGGGACTCTATGCAGTTTAAGCTTGCCCCCTCAGCCCAGCCCAACCCCTCTCTGACCGTCTTTTTCCTTTCCACCAGGGCAGGGTCACCGACAGTGCCTCTCGTGTTCTCGTCCCTTTGAAGCACTTACGTTGATGAGGGAATGGTGTTTTCCGTGTGTTAAACATTTCAAAGCCGAGGTGGCAAAGGCGATCAATGCAAATCTGTGGGCATGTGACTCCCGCTCCCTCGGATCTCTCTCCCCGGCCCCATAAACCTACAAGGACGATGTTTTGGTCAGACGCCTAAGACCTCTCTGCTACCCTCTTTTTCAGCGGCTGCAGCCTGATCCAATGTTGATGAGACAATTCTGATGACACCCACTCACCCTGCTGCCGTCTTTTGATAGTAAAGTAAGGGCTTTCCTGAGGAATCTGCCCAGGCAGGGATGTCTATCCTCGTCTTTGAACGAGCAGCAGGTTCCCATTAGGGAGACTTGGTTAGGAAACAACTCAGTGGTGGTGGCGGTGGGGCTGCGGGGGTGGGGGCTTAACTTTATGAGGCCCACTCCTTATCCTATTGTTTTAAGATGAAGACACAGAGTAGCAGGGTACAATTTAGGAGATGTAGAGACAGAGCAGATGCATAGTAATCCTCAAGCCTAGAGATGTTTGAACCGGGACATGTGGGGGGAACGGGAGATGACGGGAAGAATGTATTGCTCAAAAGGAGCTACAGGGAGGATCTCTGCAGATTGGCTATTACAGTTGAGGAGGATGTCATGATTACACACTTCCTTACACATATCTCTTCATGCCTGGAAAAAGGAACAGATACACTTAGACCATGAGTAAGGACTATTTATTCAACCATTTGCAAGTCTGTCAACTGCTATTTAGATCTTAATGTGTTCAAATGCTCCCGTATATGTTTTACTTCCATAATTATGAAAGAATAGTGAGACTTTGGGGGAAATATAAAAGAAAAAGCTTATTATTTTGTATTTAAAAAACCAAGCTAATCAGCAAACATTTAAAAGTTGTGTGTCAAACTATTGCTTGGTTGGCAACAGTGTCTGGACGATGACAGCTCCCCAGAGGTGAAGCCTAATCGTCTTGAATAGATTAATCTATCAGTCAGTAGTTGCCATTTTGATCATTTTGTAGAATGTTTTGTTTCTGGTCATCTGATGAATCTAAGTCTGATATTGACTCAATTAAAAGTTCATATTTTAGGTTTTCACCAACTCCTGATGGAAAAGTTTGGCTCTTAAGCTGCTAAATGCTCCTTTGTGTTCACCGGCTAGTTGCTAACTGTGTCTGTGTCTATGCTGTGCAGGTAGCATACACAGCTGTTTTCATTGAGCTACCTGCTGTGGACACAAATTAAGCTGATGACAGCAACATGTGAGGGAACAAGACATCAAAGTTGGGGCCTGTAAAACTGAAACAAAGAGCCATTGGAAAATCATTCAGCCTCCAGAACCTCTGTGCTGTTTCAGGAGATTTTTAGATTTTAAGTAAAAACATACATCCTCAAAAGTCCCACAAATACTTGCTACTTTACTTTTTCCCCTGCAAATGAAATAAAAAATGTGAGTCTGCATCTTCCATCGACAAAATCCCTCAAGGACGAGCAAAGGATCTCCTCACTGAGTGTGAGATCGAAAAAACAATGGGTGGAAGGCGGCTTACTTGTGTCAGCCTGGCGGGATATGATAGAAGTTATCCACCAACAATTATCATCAATAAGAAATTGATGAATAGGCTCCAGATGTTGTGTTAAACACTCCCAGCCTTCCCTTTGTGTTTGATTCACATGCAGGGGGTGCACCCACCCCCCCCCCCAACACACACACAGGGACGGTGGTGCGACTGTTTAGTCATAACAGAAGATCAAATGATGCTGCATGAGTCAGGCTGATCACGCATGGAAATTTAGTGAAATTCAAACCTGTGATGAAATCAACATGTTGGCCCGTCGCTGCCTCTACGTGTCAGTGCCGCAGAGCACGAGGGTGGAAACTGTTTAACGAACCGATTATCGTCTTTCTAAGCTACTTGAGTATTTGTGTTGTCAAGGTTTCTCATTTTCACTGTTATTATTATTTATGACACTGGGGTGTTTGGGATAATTGTCCGTTGATCAGCAGGCATCATGGGATGTTGTTGTTAAACATCACCGCACTGTCAGCTGCAGTATTTGAAGCTGTCATGACACAACATTACGTTTTCATGTCTCTGTGCCAGTTACCAGAGGACATTGTATAAACGTCCGTCCCATTAGTGCGAACATGATATCTAAAGAGCACCTTGAGGGAATTCCTTCAAATTTGGTACAAACATGCAGTTGAACTTAAGGATTAAATCATTTTGGTGGTCAAAGGTCAAGTTTACTGTGACCTTACAAACCAAATTCTTTGCATTCTGAACACAAAGTCTCAGGAATGTCTCCTTTCATTCTCGACGATTAATCATCAAAATAGTTGCTGTTGCATTTTCGCTCACTTGACGTCACTCCTTGATTTAATATCTACTCAGTGAGTAGAGTGGTTCCCTCAAAAAAGTTTTCCTAAAGTTAAGTGAGCACTTGATCCATCTATTTTCCGACTCGTTTCCAGTACAGTGTACTAGTCCAGAAAGTATATGTACCTTTAAATTACACTAAACTACCTGAGTGATATTCACCAAGTCTGAAATTTTGCTTGTTGGTGTTCAGCATCCTCTCAGTAAGGACAGACAGATCGTTGTGAAATGTGAAATCCTGCTTTGCGATCTTGACTGGAAATAGATGTTTACTTAATATAGTTGCCCAAGGTTAGTAAAATACTTTCCATGAGCAGTAAAGAGAGGGTCCTGTCCGTCTGACTGGGAATGACGCTTCGCCTGTGAGAGAGGATTTAACTTCCCAACATTCGGCCTGCGGAGCACAGAGATGATAGTGTGCGAAAGAGGTTCCTGCTGAAAAACATCTTACAGACATCTCTCTCGAGCCCTAGATCTTGTTAAATAATGAGGCATTCATATATATATATACATATACCTGTGTACATTAATTAACTCAATAAGCAAAATTAGCTTTTTAATTTCAAATGGCTTCAGTGCAGTGAAAACTTCCACAAATGAGGGATCAACCAGTTCATCATGAGCCTGAGGGTCTGCACAGATCGTCCTGGGGTTATTGAAAAGTAAAACATGGAGGCCAAAGCTGGTCAGCCTCATTCATTATTATTTTCTACAACCACAATGCTCTGAGTGGTATTATATATTATTTCACTACGTTTTTGGGGCAATACATTGAAATGTCATCAACCTGAATATAACCACGTCTTTATTTCTCAAATAGCTAACAAGAGCAGAAATGATCCACGAGTATTAATTTACAGAAGTAATCTGAAAATAATGAATATCCTCCAGTTAACCAGATTTAAGAAACGTTAAACATGATGGGCATCAGTCTTCTGTATGACATCGTGGAATGTGGACTTCCTGCTAATGTTACAGAGTTCAGTACACATAGTGTTTTTATTCAAACGAGTCTCTGTTCGGTTAATCCCAGTCATGTACTAGTATTCATGTACAGTAAACCAGCATCAGGGACTCCGTGATTCCATCCATCCCCTGATCACCACTGCGTTGACTCTGGCTCCAAATTACATCTTCAGCACGATGGCAGTGTTCGTCTCCGGGACGTTTTGGCTTCGTTTCTGAATAACGAGAGGAAGTCGAGACGTGTCTTCCATCTTCATACACAGTCTATGTGAGTGATGACGGAGAGCTGGAAGTCGGCACGAGACAAAAATGAAACGTAGGAGCCAAAAAAGAAAACGATAAAGACAGAGAGAGGGCAGGAAGAGTCGAGTTACAGCAACGTTTTATTTCTTCAGTGAGCCGTCAGCCAAATAAAGTTTGATTTCACGCAAAGTATCTCCGCAGCTCATAAATCAATCAGGCTCTTGTTACAACACAGGTACAGTGAGTGTGAAGCTTTTCTGTTACAGGTAACCAAACTAAACACAACCTCCCTGTGCTCCAGTTTATTTGGCTTCACAGCATCGACTCTGAGACCACATCCAGCGGCAGTTCCTGTGCGCTCTGCCAGCGGCCGACAGCCAGGGACATGTATTCGTACGTGCTATAGTTCCAGACCGCTGGCTCGGGCCTGAAAACCCCACAGCGTCAGTTCTACCTTTGTCAGATTTCAAACTCACGCCCCCTCGACAACCAGATCGGAACCGCTCTGCGGAGCCCGGAAGGTAGAGCCTGATGTTACCTATGGGAGGTCCTCCTGTGTTGGATCAGCACCGAGGAAGCAATAGAAAAAATCTAATTTCCATATGGATGTGTGAGGTTTGACCTGCTTCCTGTGACTGGCCCTCGCACAAGTTCACCAGGCTGCGGTAAACAAGTCTCAGCACAAACGGATCCTTTCAACACGACATGTTACTTTTTCTGTCTCCTCTCATAATCGTCCCGATACCTTTGAAAGCGCTCTCAGTCATTTATTTGCCGGGTGTTTTGTGTGTTCATTTTTTTAAAGACACTGTGACGGCCACAATCGATAATGGATGATGCTGATGTCATGATGCCGAGCGATGCAACCGTTCCATCCTGCGGCCTGAAAAAGAGACGGTCACGTGTCAAGGCACGTTTAACGTCGTCCAATTAAATCAAAAGCAAAGAACCGCGTGAATAAAATGTATGTTTCATGGCACAGAAGAATGAAGAATCAAGTTTGTCTTTGACTGACAATTAGGAAATCTAGAATAGAGCCAGCCTTTCGATGTTATTCTCTCAGTTCCTCTCGATGTCCACGTCTCAGGAGACTCAACTGTCAACACGTGCTGACTGCAGAGAGTCAGCTTCATCCACCAGTTCCTCCACATTCATGCTGCGAATTTATCATTTTAATTTCTTTCCAGACGATTTCACGTGGATTCTCTCCGTCCCTCCTGAGAGTGGAGCATCAAAGCTGCAGATTTCAAAATGTTGGACACAGTTTTCGGTCACGAGTCCATGAACCACCAGCAGTTGATTGACTAAAGGATTTTTTATTTCCCCCACAAAATCCTGGAAAGTCCATTTTGAAACTGACCTGGTAAAGCACTCATCGATATTGATAAACAACCCCATTAAACATCCATATTAATAAATGTCATGGTCCCTCTGAGTTATGAGGCCGCGAAGAGTTTCTCCTTCCATCAATCTGTAATTGTGATTCAAAGAAGTGTCATCACTCTTGTCAGGTGTGTTGAAAATGATCGATGTGTAATGAAAAGCAGTGAAATGAGCAACTCTGTGATTTACACATTTCATTCGCTGACTTGTTTACTCTTCTTCTTCGTTGTGAAAAAGATTCCGAGCTGAGCTGTGACTTCATGTGTGTTGGGCTTCGCCCAGATGAAATAAATCACAGTCATTACATGCTTTGGTTTTCAAAGTGTCTCCGATGAAGACGCATTCATCTCCAGAGGACGATTCTGAGAGC